CTATGAGACTATGAACCCTTCCCCGACACAAACGGTACATTGTGAGACAGGAAATTGTAGAGAGAAGCAAGCCCTATAACATAGGATACAACATTTTAATGAACACATAAAATCAATAAAATGAAAAATATATGAATTAATATACATGTACTGATTTCTTTCAAAAATCGACAACTGTGAAACTTCCCGGACACATACGGTGTGAGACGGGAAATTGTAGAGAGAAACAAGCCCTTTAACATAGGATACAACATTTTAATGAACAGTGCTTTCCATAAACTCAATCAAATGAAAAATATACGAAATAATATACATGTACTGATTTCTTTCGAAAATCGACAACTATGACAATATGATGCCTTCCCGCGACACAAACGGTACATTGTGAGACAAGAAATTGTAGAGAGAAACAAGCCCTATAACATAGGATACAACATTTTAATGAACAGTGCTTTCCATAAAATCAATACAATGAAAAATTTACGAAATAATATACATGCACTGATTTCTTTCGAAAATCGACAACTATGAAACTATGATCCCTTCCCCGACACAAACGGTACATTGTGAGACAGGAAATTGTAGAGAGAAACAAGCCCTATAGCATAGGATACAGCATTTTAATGAACAGTGCTGTCCATAAAATCAATAAAATGAAAAATATACGAAATAATATACACGTACTGATTTCTTTAAAAAATCGACAACTATGAAACTATGATCCCTTCCCCGACACAAACGATACATTGTGAGACAGGAAATTGTAGAGAGAAACAAGCCCTATATCCGCTTGCGAATATCTTTATCGAACAATTTATTCAATATTTGACGAATGTATACTACGAACCAAATTTCATGGTAGACAATATCCTTTCTGGTTTACTTCACCGATAATACAATAAATTAAGTAAGGGTCATATTCGTAGCAAAATCAAAACAATCAAATATTCCTGAATCAAAATTTCATTTTAATTCAGGAAGTGCCGAAATTAAAAGAGATGCAAAAGAAGTATATATAAGTTGTGATATATATATTTTGTGACAAAAAAATAAGGAAACAATTTAAGTAAGATCATATTTAACTTAACATATAACTAATGTTGTATAATAATATATAGCAATATATATATATATATATATATAATATATATATATATATAACATTAGTTATCTCCAGTATGTGCGATTTATTGTCAATAATGCAGTAAAATCTGACTGATACAATCTGATTGTTATCCGACTAAAAGTCTCTTTTGCTTCTTTTTGATTTATAAACCAGGTCTCTTTAGGATAATGGACGCTTTTTTTAAACAGTATATTTATATTTTATACCTTGATATTTTTACATTGTTAATTTTAGTATAAAAAAATGTGTTTTTCTGTTTTCAGATTTTTGTATAAGGCTCCCGTTTTCATGTCTGCCCCCGTTTTCTATCCTTGATGGCTGTGAATACGCGTATTTATTTACAAATTACTGTAAGTCATGCTTATACCTTACTAATTTACATTAAAATTGCATATAATTAAGTAATTGCTGTAGAAATCATTCAATTCTTTATTTTTTATATTTATTTAGTCCCGTTGTCTCATATTTCAAATAAATATGTTTGAATAAAATTTTGTTTTGTTTTATTTATGATAAGAAAGAGTACAAAATACATTTAAACTGAAAGAGAGCCCGCCATTGAATAACCGGAAACGGAAATAAAAATGAAGCCATCATGTCAACCTGTCAATTGGAAAATTAGTTCTCCAGACGACAACGAAGGCTTTCGGTGGCGTATCGTGTTTCCACGATTTAACACAGAGTTGACACTTCTTTCTAGTTAATTATTTTATGGGATCAACCTGCTCTCACTACCGGTTTCGGAGCCCTACTCCATCATCAGGTGAGCTTGGGTAGTTCCACAAAATGGCAACCACAGCGCAGAGTAGTTAAATCCGACTTGTCGGAAAGTATCGGTTAGATATTAACTCCCGAACGGGAGATAGCGGCCTGCGTGCAATGGTAGTACTTTCGTACCACTGAGGCGCAACTATCGATAGTAAATACGTACCTTGAATCGATAGTATCGGTGGTACGAAAGTACTACCATAGCACGCAGGCCGCTAACTCCCATTCGGGACTTAATATCTAACCGATACTTTCCGACAAGTCGGAATTAACTACTGTGCACTGTGGTTGTCATTTTGTGGAACTACCCAAGCTCACCTGATGATGGAGTAGGGCTCCGAAACCGGTAGTGAGAGCAGGTTGATCCACATTATGACAAACACAGCGTGGAATTAAATTTCTATATCAGCAGTTAAGTGGCAAGAATTCTTATATAATTTTACTATAGCGTGTACCAGTGACTTCGTTCGCGTCGAATTAATCATTTGTAATGGTGATGATAAAGCAAAGCAAGAATTTCCATTACAAACTGGATAAAATTTTCTCACACTTATGCCTGCATGAGAAAAAACAATATGGCGATATTATTATATAACTTGGTAATATTTGAGGGGTAGTTTCATCTCGTTGGAATTTGACTTTCGAAAAATCCGTCTGCCAAAAATAAGCTTTTTACGTCAAGCAGTTTAAGCAGAATCGTGATTAAGAAATTACCCAACTTTTTGGAACACCCTGTATGATTTTTTTAAAAATTTCAAAATATGTAAAAAAAAACAAATAAATTATGCATGTCCAAGCGTTTTCCCGAAAGACTAACCGTTTTTTAAATAACAAATATTGTAATATTTGAGGGGTGTTTTCACCCTCTTGGAATTTGAGATTCGAGAAACCCCTCCTTATCGAACCTCTACACCCCACAGTCAATCCGTTTGCCAAAAATCAGCTTTAAACGTCAAGCAGTTTAAGCAGAATGGTGATTACTCAATGGTCATATTTTATGAAACACCCTGTATAAATTTATAAAAAATCTTAAAATATGTAAAACAACAAAATAAAATATACGTGTTTAAGACTTTTTCCAAAAAACTCACAGGTTTTAAATAAAAAATATTTTAATATTTGAGGGATAGTTTCACCCAAGGATACTATAGAGATAAGGATAGTTCGATTCCTATCTTCCTGCACTGTCAGTTTTTTTACGTCATCTACTGACCGAGTTGAAGATGGCGCTAAAGATTTTAGACAGTGACAGTTATTTTTGCATTTGACGGACGAGCGCACAGTGCGTTGGAAGATAAATTTAGCGGGACAAAAGCGTTTGGTTAGAAATAAGCCAAAAAATGTGTACTGATAAGAATAAATAGTAGACATTCCAATTGATACAAAAATGCATGAATATTCTTTGTATTTCGATACATTTTTATCAACCAAATTTAGTCGTTTTCTGCTCAGCAAGGCAGAGATCATACGAAAACAAAATATTTACAAGTGCTTATACATTTTATTAGAAAGCCAAATTATGCTGAAGATTGTCAAAGGTATATACTTTTCTACTGTACGTATATTATTTGTCAAAATCCTTCGTGCCTTTGTTCTGCAGATATCAAACTTTCACTTTTTTTTCAAATATCGATATATTGAATGATGTAGATCTTTTGAGTTACCAATAGTTACCAACACAGGTAGTCACAGTCACAGGGAGTTCAAGCTTAACAGGTGAATGCCCAAAAAGATTCATTTCAATTGGATAGTATAAAAACAAAACAACTCCATCAAAAGGCACTGAGTTCAAAAAATTCTCTTAGATACTTACTATATGTATATGAATTTACAATTACCGAGTGTTAAAATTAAAATTAAAATATCTATCTTATTTATTATTTTCAAAATAAAATATATTTTTTTAAAATAAATTATAGAGGGTGTCACAAGATTACAAATTAATTAAAAAAAACTGCTAAAGAGTTTTTTGATATCATAATTTTATGTATTTGGCAATAGTTTACAATACGATTTTTGTGTGTCATGTACGAATAATATCATAGTTTTATTATCTTGTATTTATTTATTAATAAATAAATAAATTTAACCATATAGTTGCTATATATTAGACCATTCGCTACGTTCTTAGATTTTAAGTCCCAAACATTGCTCTTGAGATTTTGTCCCGCTAGAATAACCATCCGCCGCACTGTGGAGCGCTGGTCAGCGCGTGACGTAGCATTCCACGACGACTACGACAGCGGCGATTTTACGCGATCGAACAGTTCTTTAGAATATATACAGTCCTTGAGTTTCACCCCCTTAGAATTCGAGTTTCAAAAAATCCCTTCTTATCGAACCTCTACACCCTAAGTCAATCTGTTTGCCAAAAATCAGCTTTTTACGTCAAGCGCTTTAAGCAGGATCGTGATTAATCAATGACCAGATTTTTCGAAACACCCTGTATACATTTTTAAAAAATCTTAAAATATGTAAAAAAACAAAATAAAATATACTTGTTTAAGCGTTTTTTTCGGAAACTTGACCGTTTTTAAAATAAAAAATATTGTAATATTTGAGAGGTGGTTTCACCTTCTTGGAACTGGAATTTCGAAAAATTCCTTCTTATCGAACCTCTACCTACACCCTAGTATGCCAAAATCAACCTGTTCTACAGATATCAAAATTGAGCTTCTTACGTTGAGTGGTTTGAGCAGGATCGTGATTAATCAGTATGTCAGTCACTTAAGGATTTTATATATTAGTATAGATTAAATACCTATGTTGCAAGAAATTTGTTTTCCATTTTATTGTTATTAATGAGCTTTCTGAATGTAACATACTTAAAGCACTTGTTAAACCTAAACCCAAGATGATGCGAGGTATACCAAATTTTGTTGTGCGAAACTGCCGTTAAAAGCGGTTCACTTCCACACATATAAATACCGACTACAGACACAAAAATAAGAGTTGCCAGCGTGGTATGTGTCGTATGAACGAAAAAAAAAAACTCTTTTCGATCGCCTTTGGGTCGTATGGTATACAAAGATCTAAAAATAGATTTATTAAAAAATATGGAAACTGTAAATAAAAGTAAGTGTTGTTATTCTTTTTATCAGTATTTTATTTCTGTACAAATCATCTAATAAAACAACAAAAAGTAGTTAGCGTTAGAAATAGTTATACGCACTGAGAGCAACAATAGAGCATTTAAACAATAAAAATACGATAAGTCAAATATAATATAATTTATTGTTATGAGTCACATTTTACTTCAGTTAATTCACTATTACTCGCTATCGCACTTTTGCCTTTGTTCTTTTGATTTGCATGTTTTTTAGCCATTTCCCTTCTAGTTTTTACTAGAATTCTATGACCTTCACAATCAAGATTTTCTATAAAACACTTGTCCCTGCAGCATTTTTTGCAAAGCTGATAACCACATTTTGAACCCTGTAACATAAATACGATACCTAATATTATATTAAAAAATATTGTTAGAGTGTGATAAAATAAAGTTTAGATTTCATTTCAACAGCGAAAGAAATAAGAAATTAAGAAAAATATTTTTAATTAGTGTCACCCCATAGATAGACTTTTTGCTATACCTGAATATTAGGTAAACACTTAGCAATAGTAGTTTATGTATTATAATTTATGAATATATATGTCGCAGGCGTATAGAATAATAAAAAAATTCTGTTAAAAGACTAGCCAGATTATAAAATGCCGTTTTATTACATCCAGAAAATTTATAGAAGACAAAAACACTTTTCATTTCAAATTATTTAAACTAGACATAAATAAAGTACCAATAGTTCTTATCACTGTGGTTTTGAAAACAGATTTATTTACCAAAATAACAAAAAAAAAACAGAAAATATATCTTACTAATATTTAATATTACTGACACCAGTAACTAAAAACATCTTCCATTAATTATGAGGTTTAACAAAACAGATTATTTTTTTTCTATACTGTTTATTATAATTAGCGTCCACTCAAAAAGTAACAAATGTTCTAAGTGATACGCCAATAATTACCTCAGTTATTCAAATTTATAATTTGTTACAGATCTGTTATTATAATTCACTTAGATTTGCATTATAAAGATTTTGATTGCAAAAACTTACTGCAACATTGCTAGATACTTGGAGTAAATTGAGTAAATCAAAAATATTTTTTGGGAGAAAAGGCATAGAAATAGGTATTCATCAACACGTCGCACAGTAGGCGTAGGCGGATGATACGGCGAGACAAAACCTTCTATTTTTTTAAGCTCCTTTTCAAGACTTTATTACTGAATTAAAGTTAAAAAACTTTATATCCCGCTCGATACATCTCGAAATAATTTCGTAGTAGGCTTTGAGCATACCATAAACAATTGAAAGTATCAGCGACATTTTGTACCCAAGCGAGCGTCTATTTTGCATGTACAGGCGAAACAAACTTGACACTAATTTTTGAGTGAAGTTATTTTTAAAATAAAACATATTGCGATGGTTGAATATAATAGATGTAAGTTAGCTTCAGATCATTATAGATTTTAATTATTGTGGACTGATATATAATTACTTATTTTTTTAATAATTTTGCCAATTGACAGAGGTGGAAATACAAAGTAAACCAAAGTACTATTTAATTCTCATTTTAAATAAAACTTTATAAATCGCACTTCGACATAATGTCAAGATCACTTGCCCGTTCTTGCCCGTTTAGCCATTTTTTAACGATATTTCATTGTTGCTGCACTGAAGCTTAGTCAAATCTTTTAGTGCATTTGTAAAAGGAATAAATTCATAACTTTCGAACCAAAACAGATATGAACATGCGGTTTTCAGATTTATGATTAGTAAAATATGTTCTACTTTTTAATATGCTTTTTTTTTGTTGGTAAAAATTAATAGCGGATCCAAGTGGCAGACTTTTTATTTATCAATCGATTTGTCTCAAATTTCGGGCATGAAATATTATTTTAATATAACACGAATTACGTTCAAGTAACACTTTTTGAAGTTAAACGAGGTTGTTAAAGAATTCCACCACTAAAAGTACAAATTAAGTACAATCAAGTACAGGGTGTTCATTTATAATGTGCATCCCTTTAACTTCTTTGTTTTTCTCATTAGAAAAAAAATTTCTAGACAAAAGTTGTAGGGTTAAATGTGAACTATTTGCACAATATGTTTTTTCATATACAGGATCTTGTATAAACGCGTGACATGTCAAAATTATATATTTTTAAATGGAACACCCTGTATGTTATTACAGTTTTAAAACCTTCACAAAATTTTAATTACTTTTTATAATTCACAGGCGGATATTTCCGAAATTATTAAATTTAAGCATATGTCATATTATATAAAAAGTACTTAAAATTTTGTGAAGGTTTTAGAAATGTAATAATATACAGGGTGTTCCATTTAAAAATATATAATTTTGACCTGTCACACGTTTACGCAAGACTCTGTATATGAAAAAATATACGCTGCAAATAGTTTACATTTAACCCTACAATTTTTGTCTATAACATTTTTTTCTAATGCAAAAAACAAAGAAGTTAAAGGGGGGCACATTATAAATGAACACCCTGTACTTGATTGTAGATTTGTACTTAACTTTTTAGCTTTATACTAATTTAGACTGTAGATTGTAGCTTTGTACTTAATTGGCAGCTTTAGTTTATTTTGCAATTTTTTTAAATATGTTAATACAACATGAGTTAATTTTACTTGTATTTTATGTACGAGTCTAGTCAGCTTTTGTTTTCCACAAAATCAATAGTTTAGACATATTTTGAAAACAATAAACATAATTAGATGGTTTTATACAGAAATTATTAAGTTGCGTTGAATCAGATTGTCGTAGAAGTTTCGTCTTACTAGCGGCCCGGTCTCCCGCCCACTGTGCGTCGATTTGTATTTTAAATTCTGCTTTTTTAATATAAGAAAATTGTATACAATCTTGTCTAAAATTTGAGACATGACGGTACCGACTTTTTAAAGTGGCAACCCTATTTTTTATAAATTTTCTTACATGCTATATCAAGTTATACATTCTTGCAAAAATTATTTTTTTAGTCTTTGTCAGTAAAAAGTTATTTAATTAAAAAACAAAGGTGAGTTAATAGAGAGTTTATAATTTTGTGCAAAAACATCAGGTGCGTATGCACGTCCCTGATGAATTTTTTTAGCATTAAAATATGTAGTGCTTATAGTAACTTTACCCTCAAAATTTAATTCAAGTCATTAAAAGTACCGTATGTTCGAAAAAAATGGTGTCCAGTTGGCTTGGAAATGACGATCGATGACATTTCCAATATAGGGTTCCCAACTTGAGCATCGGCGATTCCGGGACAATTATCTTTAAGCTTTTAAATAATTGAAACAAAACATTAAATATTAGAAAAAAAATATATTATGTGTGTAGTACACACTTTTTTAGTTACCAGGTCCCGGCTTGTCCCGGCCAAGACAAAACTTTCGCCGGGACAAACTTTCTGATTCCTGGTTAATCCCGGCCAAACCGGGACGGTTGGGAACCCTATTCCAATATAATTTTACATATAAAATGACAGCGATCTTCATTTCATAGCCATCGCTGACGCCGTTTTTATTCGATCATACGGTACTTGGAAGAAAATTATATTAAATCAAATCATTATTAATGACTTAATGATTATATTAAATCAAATCATTATTAATTGACTTTAACATCCTGTAGCTACGAAACAAAGTAGAATTGGACCTAGGTTGATATGAAAAATAAATCTTATTTTTACGTGAAGAATCTCCCCATGAGAGATGGCACATGTTTTTTGAGACACTCTGTGACTCTGTATATATTAAACTACCACAAAATGTAATCACTGTCGAATTTTAATATTTTTGTAATTATTGTAATAGCAGATATGTACCAGAATAAAACAGATATATTTTAATTGTAAACTTACCAATGGATTTTCACAAAGTGAACACTTTTCCATAGATTTTGGACTACAATTTTCTGGTTTTTCAGGTCGCCTACTTATTCTTCTAATCTTTTTCATTTTCTTTCGGCTTATGGGATTCCCTTCAGCATCTTCATAAAACCTCTTTGTTCCTTCACTCTAAATAAAAAATCTGGCATTGGATAAAGTAAGCATTTTATAGTAAATTATTAACTTCATGTACTAACCAATCTTTTCTCAGCCTCTTTAACTTTATCCTCCACTTTTTTAATATGACCTTCAGGTGTATCCCTTACATAGGGCTGACATAACCATGGTGGCAACAATAAATTATGACTTTCCGGTTCAACAGGTGCTTCCCAAACTTTATCACCGGTATGGTAAAGTTCGTACATAGACCTAATTTTATTAGTGATATTTGTAAATTGGTCTAATGTATTTGCTGCACCTAATTCAATTCTTAAATTATTATTTTCTGGCAGTGATAATCTGAAATTTATATGATTATATTATGAGTTTATACTTTAAGATTTGCCCTTACACATGATGAAACAGTTTGAATAAATGCCCTCGAATGTAACTGTTTGGGCAAGGATACTTTTTTACTAAATCAAGATATTTTAATGCTGGTTCCCAAATTGGAGGATTCTGACCCATAAAAATAGCTGGATTGTACAGATTACCCTCAGCAGTCATTACACCAACAGCACCGGTTTCTTCTAAACATCTCTCTAAATCTTGAATATTTTGAACGTTTCCATTAGAAAATACAGGTATATTCACGGCATCACTTAAAAGTGAGTGCTTTAGTTTTTGTTAAAACTATAAAGGAAATTATCAATACCTCACAGACTTTACATAAGTCCAATCAGCTAAACCTGTTAAAGGACCCTTTTGCTCTCTAGTTCTCCCATGAACTGTAAGAATACTACATCCTGCATTTTCTAACAATTTTGCATATTCTATAGTTTTTTCTTTAGTTTCAAACCTTCGTACTTTACATGTTACAGGGATTTTTAAATTCTTACTTAATAAACTGACTAAATATGTAAAATACATTACTAAAATGTTCATTCTATCTAGGTAGGGTTTTTAACTCACCCATTTCACTTAGAAGAGGCCACTCATCTTGTAAAAATGCTCCATAATGCCCTCGCTTAGCAATAGCCTGTGGACATCCCAAATTTATGTCAATAGCTAAACAGTGATCCTGTGCCAAAAGTGCTGCTTCAAGCATTGTTTGTGGCTCATTACCACACAACTACAAAAGGTAATTTCAACTTCCTAATATAACAACCTCTTTGGATATATTACTTACCTGAACTATTAAGGGCTTGTCTTCATCGCAAGAGGCTAGTGCCTCAGTCCGATATTTAAGATCTCTAGAAAACAATGCACTATGTAACATAGGTGTATAACAGAGCTGTGCCCCGTATTGTCTACTCAAAAGTCGCCACGGTAACTCACTGGCATCAACCATGGGAGCAACAATTTTTGTTGGGCTACCTAGAGTATGCTTCCAAAAATCCATTATAAACCATTGACAACCATTTATTATTAACTAAATTATTTGGAAATGATTAACTTAATAAAAGTATGCATAAAATTATTAAAAGTAGTAGATTTTAATGTTATTTAATTAGACAATATTTATAAAATATATTAAAACATGAGAAAAATATAAATATTTAAATATAACCTAAAAACTTGACATTTAGTTTTTGTAATTCAGGTTGTATATGCTGGAACTACAGAATGCATGATAAAAAGATCTTGTTTGTTTGGTTGCATCAAACTGATTTACTAAATTTAAACGTATTTGGATTTACTTTACCACTTTTTATTTTTTTATAATATTTATTTGAACTATGTGGACTTTCATTCTAATTATTTCAGTCAAATATATCTTAAATGATATTTTTTATATTCAAATGTTTTATCGAATTTCTGAAATTTAATTCTAACAGTAACCCTAGTTAGCACCAGGCATAGACAATGAAATAAAAATATTACCTAATATTTTTATTTCTTTGCACTTTCTTTGTCTATCGCACCAGGGTATATTGAATAAGTCCTAAAATAATATAAAAAACAGATTTGAAAATATATTTAGAAAATCAAAGACATTATAAATATAATAGTTTAATACTATATAACAACAAATTACTCGCAATAAAGACAATGAACATATTCTGAAATAATTTACAATTACTTTTAAAATTGCCTTTTCTTAAAACGAACCTTTCTTACAATAGCCATAATATATTTATATACAACCTATACGTAGAATGTTATATTATGCTAATAAATAAACTAGTTTATATAAAAAAAATATATATAAACAAAATAAATAATTATGTTATGGGGAATTTGAACTCATAACCGTAAAAAATGCAGGGTACACCTTTGGGGTACACCCAGGGTACACCTATTTAATTTCAGTTCTACTTAAACTATTGTTGGAATTAAAATTGATCTAAAGTTGAAATATAGGTGTAAATTCAATAATAATTATGAAGAATTATTTCTGGTTATACAATATATGAATTTTTAACGCTTTGTACTAACAACATGGTTTAATGCACATCATTTGAAAATCACACACCTTTTATTTAATATATTTTCCATATACATATGCATCATAAACTTGAAAAACGTTTATATAAATTTAACAGTCACTTTAACATATCAATACGATAATTTCCTTTCTAGTTATAACAATACATATTATAAAACGACTAATAACTAGTTTATATTTAATGCATTGGTACAAAAGGAATTAGTTATTAGAGTACATTGTTCTTATATGGTTTTTGGACAAATTATATTTTTGTTTCATATAAACATTGAGGAGCACCATATTTAAAGCATACATTGTCAATGAATTCATATAATATAATATATTTGACTTTATAAGTATTCTATTCATTAAAAAAATAATAGGGCTCAATATTTTTGATTAGGTAATATAGTATTTGAACGTTATTTTCAACCACTTATTAAGACGTCAGATGATAGTCAAACTTTGCACACGTCTCAAGGAGCGATAACAATACAATAATTTAATAAGTTTCTTTAAATATTATGACCACAGTTATCAGAACTAATAATAATAAACTCATACCAAAAATCACATTTCATGGAAAAAAATCACATTTTATACACCGTTAATGTTAATTTAGTTGCTTATTTAAAATAATCACTATCCATTTTAAATAAGCAATCTACAGTAAAATTGTATAGTGCAACGAATTAAGGGAGATTTCTACAGACTATCTCTAAAAAATGACAGAAAGTACAATTTGCTTGTGAATTAATATGACAGACACAACTGTCAGTCACAGATCCTACCGTTGAATAGACTGTACATAAATATAATATAAACTCTGTATAACGAGCTACGGAGGATTCGGACCAATAGCAGCTAGAATTACAGGAAATACAATTTACCTGAGCATTAAAATAACACATACAACTTTCACTATCATGTGTTCTCTTGTTGGACAGACTATAGTTCACAAATCATCCAAAATTCAAATAAAATTTATTTAAGAATTTCGGTTCTAAACACTTATAAAGTAGATTAGTTTAATGAAACTAAAAACATGCTTGTGTCAACTTGTGTAGACCAACTTAAAAATAATGTTTAATTATTAAGATGTAATTTAAGTCAACAAAGCTAATAAAATTAAATAACCTTTTGGAGAATCTAAAATAATATTAAAATTATAAACAAAAAAGTAATACAAAATGCGAGAAGCCTGAAGTATTCGATATACATTGTAATACCGTATGATCGAAAAAAAACGGCGTCCCAGTTGGCTGGGAAATGACGATCGATGACATTTAAATGCCATATAAATGTAATAACATTTAAAGCCCGTATAAATCTACATATAAAATGAGAGATCTTCATTTCGTAGCCATCGCTGACGCCGTTTTGTTTCCACCATACGGTACATACATAGATATAATACCGTATAATCGAATAAAAACGGCGTCAGCGATGGCTATGAAATGACGATCGATGACATTTCCTATATAATTTTACATATAAAATGAGAGCGATTTTCATTTCATAGCCATCGCTGACGCCGTTTTTTTATTCGATCATACGATATATATATAGTCTGTATAACGCTAGGGTATAACGAGAGGATGACAGTGAAAAATGACAGGTCTGTCGGTCATCTTAACTCACAGTTATATACTCGTATTATAATGTCACTGTAAATGTCCGAAATGCGGTAAAACCTAGGTTTTACCGAATTTCGGGTTGGTTAGCGTGGTTATTTGGAGGGTGTTATTCATTGCTATTTGCTAGGTTTAGCGCGTTTATCCTAGGTTTTACCGCATTTCGGACATTTACAGTAACATATACACAGATAAAAGAAAATAACCATCTATTAAGCAGTTACCTATACAGGGTGAGTCTTAAATAAGTGCAAATATTTTTAGGGATAGCATAATACCACCCTAGAAAAAAACGACTATGTGGTTTTTTCGCCAAAAAAAATTGAAAAATTGATTTAAAAAAAAAGTGAATTTTTTTAATTTTTTAGTTTTGATATGATTGATATGACAACATTGGTGGTAGATTAAATTTGCAAGAAGCAAAACCCAGTAAAGATCCAGCGGTTCTCAAAATTTAAGCTAAAAATCAGCTTTTTAAATTTCAAAATAAAATAACTCGGTTATTTTGGGCTTATTTGAAAAACGATAAAGTGAAAATGTTTCTTTTATCGAGATCTACTAGCATTGAAAATATTTGCATTTATTTAAGACTAAAAAATACTTTTCACTTTTTAGGTTGATCTATATAATGAAGTGTTTTTAGTTTTATAAATAATAATGTTTACTCAAAATAATCCAATTATAAAGTATATACGATGTAAAAATACAATAAAGAATAAACATAGCAACTCGTTAAGGTAGATCTTTGTCGGAGGTAACTGAGTAAACCATCTACACATATTATTTTTCTATTTTAAAGGTTGAGGCACTAGATATACATATCTTGCAAGGGGATCGTTTCCTATAATACCTGATAATACCATACACATATCATCTGAATTTTAGTTAACAATGGCCTTAAAATAGCATGCTAAAGAAAAACAATTCATACGCGTACACATGTTAGTTTACTGTAGACATAATATTTGAAATAATGGCTGGCGCTTTAGTTTCCCTAGCTTTTCCTTAAAGTTTCTTGTACTGCGACAAAGGGCTGAAACTGATTAGGAACAAGCATTCGATTAAAATACGGCGACTAACTTGCGTTAACTCGACACGTAACTTCCACATTACTCCATTGTTGGATGCGAAATAATTGAATATCAGAGGTTATCGGTCTTTTCCTTTACCACGTGATTGAGGTAAGGAGAAAAATAAAGGCTTGTTTCTAATCAATAAATAATCTTCTACCACAGCATAATCCATAAAAAATAATTTGTTGTTTTGTCTATATATATTTTTTAAATGATAATAATTAGCAAGAAAAAAGTTACAAAGGAAGACTCTCTATTTCAATCTATGTACAGGGTGACTCAAATTTATACCTTGTGTACCTTGGTTTGGTCTAATATCAGAAAATTGTACAGCTGCAATGATAGCTGGAAGTCAAGTTGGATTGGCTATGATTTATTTTTCATTATAAACTCACCGGCACAAAATTCCGTCGCCCTAAAATTTTGGCCAAGTTTGATGTTTCATAACTTTTGAATTTGTAATCCGATTTTTATAATTATGGTATTCGTTTGTAGATGAATTTGTTGGCATTATTTTTTATTATTTTAATGGCTTATATATTTCGGTTAGGTGGGTTTTTCCCTGGGTAAAACACCCTGTGGAAAAAATGGAAAGGGCATTCTGGTTAAAAAACACTTTTCTGTAATCTTATGTTTTCCTAACATTTCATTTTTTTAATTATCCTGTTATCTCTATTCTTTTATGAGCTACACGTTTTTAAATAAAGTACTCATATTTTTACAATCTTGAATTTGTCGAAAATAGAGCTCTCAATGCCCACCGTTATATTGAGGATGTCCTCCAAGAAGTGATCGTTCCATTTGCGCCTTTCGTTGGAAATCAGTTTGTACTGATGCATGATAATGCCAAGCCCCACGTTGCGCGGGGTAAAAAGTTAGAAGTACGAGTACTTAACAAGTACCTGGATGAGGTTCGACTACGAAGATTGGAATGGCCTCCTTGTAGTCCCGACCTCAATCCAATCGAACATTTTGCGATGAACTTAAAAGAGCTTTTCGTCGTCGTAGCTGATATTCATCAAGCTGTAGATCAAGAAAGAATAACTACCCCTATTCATTCGATACGACAAAGATCTCGAGTTGTTATTCCTGCGGAGAGGTGGACATGCTCGCTATTAAAATTAGTATAAAATTATTGTTTATGTCAATAAAAGAATCTTTGAAATCAATACTTTACTTAAAAATGTGTAGCTCATAAAAGAATAGAGATAATGGGATAATTCAAAAAATAAAATGTTAGGAATACATCTAAGATTACAGGAAAGTGTTTTTATCCAAAATGCTCGTCCCATTATTTTTTCCACAGGGTGTTTTGAATTTATAACAAAAAACAATGTTTTCCCGGTATAAATAACCCACCTTAAACCCTAACCCTTCTAAATAATGCCGATAAATTGATCTTTACACTGATACCATAATCATAAAAATCGGATTACAAAATAAAAAGTTATGAAACACCAAACTTAAGGATGCTTCACGCTATACCGTGACGAATCCGAGTCGTGCGTCGGTGACACGGCCAAACATTGTCAAGTGTTCTTTACACATATACATTCATGCCAGGCCGAACACGACCCGAGCTTCGCTGGAACTCGTCCGTGCCCCGTCACAGAAATGTCGGCGTACATTTTTTTCGGATCCGCTCCGTTCTCGCCAGGTTGCGGAAAGCATGAATGTACTTTTCCTGGTACTCCGACTGCAATCTGCAGTCATGATATAAACAAAGTACACGTTTTATCATGTCTGTAATAGGTATTAGCAAAGACTACACGTATTAGTGAATCTTACAGCACTATTTGACGACAGGGTATGCATCAAACTGGACAACGAAAGGATGTAATGAAGATAGGTCTTTTATCTTTCCCTTTGAGCAGGTGTTTCCCATGCAGTTGTTCTTTATTCATCAACTGCAATTGGTACCAATTCCAATTGCGAGAACTTTGGCATTGTTCGTATTAAATCTTCGTGTGTCTATGGGGCTGTGTTTTCTAATATACTCGGAACTAATATGAACCCCGTTATCAACTCGGTGTTGCATATACAGAAGGACGTGGCTACGTGTCTACTTCACGGAACGTGCCCGGCTCAGACACGGTCCGGTGTACTGTGAATCATCCTTTAGTCAAATTTTTAGGGTGGCGTAATTTTGTGCCGGGGAGTATACAGCGTGGTCCGAACTGTATTCCGGAAACTTCGACAGCATATTCTGCATATAAAAATAAGTAAAAAGTTCGTATAAATCTATGGCCTAAAAGTGTAGAAGTTTCATTTTTATTGCGATTTTTTCCAAATAGTTTCTGAAGTAACATCAATATTTAGATGAAAATTTGTGTCTGGGGGTTTTTTGACATGAGAAATTTAATTTTGATGTCAATATGACTCCTTGTAGAGGGCGCCACCTACATATTTTTTAACTGGTTTGAAGAGTAATAACTTTTCGTCCGTACCTGTATAAAACTGCGGAGTAAAAAATATACATTTACGACATTTTTACCTAAAAGAGGTCTCTTGGTAAAAGTCGCTTGTAGTAATGGTTCTCGAGATATTTGGAATGGAAATTATCAACACCTGTCCTCATTGACATAAATTAAACATGTTGACTAAATAGTTAATAGACTGAAATCATAAATTTGAATTGTTTTTGTGCCAAAAGTTCAACAGAAACTGTATTATCATTTTTTCGCAAAAAAATTATATAAAAAATTTTCCAAATGTATTATTTCAGTCAAATAACTATCTACTCAACGTGTGTTTATATTTTGCCAATAATGGCATGTATTGACTATTTCCGTTCTGAATATTTTGAGAACGGTTGCCCGTAACAATTTTTACCAAGAGACATTTTTTACGTAGAAAGTCACTGAAATATATTTTTGCACTCGGTATTTTTATACAGGTACGGACGAAAAGTTATTACTCTTCAAAACATTTAAAACACATGTGGTGGCGCCACCTACAAATAGGAGCCATATTGACATCAAAATCAAATTTCTCATGTCAAAAAACTCCCAGATACCAATTTTCATTGAGATAGTGACGTTAGTTCAGAAAGTATTTGGAAAAAATCGTAATAAAAACGAAATTTCTACACTCTGTATCTCCAAAACTAAGCATTTTAGAACATACATTTATACGAACTTTTTTACTTATTTTCATCTGCAGAGTATGCTGCTAAAGTTTCCGGAATACAGTTCGGACCACCCTGTATATTAGGTCTACCTTCGTTTTTTTAAATGACCAATGTGACGGCATCATAACTATTTTACCAAACCTTACTATTTTTTTTTGTTATAATTCGATATATTATAGCGAAAATTTCTGATTTCTGTCGTAGAGAGCGCTGCGGTCGGAATTTTTTGAAATCAACTGAAACGCACCAAGCCTATTAATTATTTACTTACGAAACTATGAAGGTAGAGTGGAGGGTGATTCGTTCGGAGTTCGAGACTCTTCCGCTTCGAGCTTGAGACGACCCGTGGGCGGACGTTCTTATTCAATTATCTATATTACTGCTATGGTAATAATAAATTTAAAAAGTTTGAAAAAGCGAGTTAAAGAAGAAGATAGTCCAAAAAACTACATTTTAGTGTTATACTGTGGTTGAAAGATTTAATTTACTATATTCACAGGTAGCATTCTGTGCCATCTGTGCTGAAAGTTAACGTTACAGAGAACATTTTTTTTCTTATAGTTTGTTTCCTACTCTTGTCCTGTAACATACCTCTGTAAAAAAATCTATTTATATACCTAGCTTAAAGATTTATTTTAGAAAAATACAATTAGAACAATATTTTCTTATTACCTTAACATAATAGGTACACGTCAAGTTCTGCTACATCGATATTTTTTGTTACAAATTCAGAATTCAGTAAAAGCTAACAATGTAATACGAGTCTCTTTTTTGTTATAGTAGTTTATTTATAAAATATATCTGCATTTAATGAAATGAACAGCTCAACGAACGACATGACGTTAAATTTATATAAGGCTATAAATTATGTTTAGAATTTAACGGGAGGTTAAGTCTTATTTATAAATTTTTCCTAAACTAGCTGTCACGCAATAGCTCCTTTTATTGGTCTAGTAGCACAATTTTGTTAAGCTTTAAAATGATAATTTCTTAACAATATAAAATACCACATTTTTTTACTTAATTTTTTTGAGGTGAAAATTTTTTTGTCTAATAGAGGGTATTTTTTCTTTCTTAATAATTCACTTAGGCCAGTCAAATAGGAATAATTATGGGAGTGACTTGAACAAAATGTAGGAAAGCTAATTATCGTTTTGATTGGTCCATATGATGCGAAAAAGGAGGATCCAAGGTATGTAGAATGTTTAGGAGGGGTGTGTTGGGTGAGGGATGTTTATTCACCGCGACCTTACAGATCTATTGTGTGTTTCCCTTTTTTGGATTATAATGAGTTATAACTCATCAAAGAGTCTCACGGCTTTCACAAAAGCCAGTATTTGAGACGGCTACACAGAGGCCAGCTCTCCATCCTCGACATCAGCTGTACCAAAGTTCATGGCACGAACGGTCGTCGCGTCGTCTCAGCGCACTCAGTGATAAGGTGCTCTGGTGTTTCCCATATAAATACAGGGTGAGTCTTAAATAAGTACAAATATTTTTATGGGTGGTATATTTTGACCCCAGAAACACGATTATGAGTTTTTTTTCGTGAAAAAAAATATTAAAAATTCGGAATTTTTTTAAAAAAAATTTGGAAAATTTTTTTTTAGTTTTTTGTCAAAAAATATACTTTCCTGATAATATGGCAACATAGGTAGTAGATTAAATTTAAAAGAAAGAAAATCCCGAAAAGATTCAGCGGTTCTCAAAATTTAAGCAAAAAATATTTTTTTTTGAAAAATTTTTTTTTGAAGTAAAATAACTCAGTTATTTTGGAGTTATTTGAAAAATGGTAAAGAGAAAATATGTTTCTTTTATCGAGATCTACCGGCCCTGAAAATATTTACACTTGTTTAAGACTCACCCTGTATAACTAAATATACTCAGCCTAATCTCTAAAAAGTGAAGCCCAAACAATGAAAGAGAAATATGGAATTCTGCATAAGTCTATTTCACCCGGATATTCATTTAACTGCGCATGCCTTACCTGAAGAAGTTTCCGTTGGTCGGTGTTTTTAAAGGGAAGTGGTTAACTGACATTTTTACCTAACGTTCAATTTTATTTATATTTTTATTATTTATTACACATCATCATGAAGTTGGAAACATATCAAAAATAGTTGGAAACAATAAACTAAACAAAATCATTCTTTTACGCGCATAAATAAAAAGTAATCCAAACAGAACGAAAACTACAATCAATGGGAGTTTGGCGCAATCGCAGTTCAATCGATATCCGGGTGAAATAGACTTATGCAGCATTAATATGGAGCTGACTTATGTTGTCTTTTTCTTACGGCACGGAAACAGCACACGGGGTTAAATAGGGAACACTGAGTATATTTAGTTATATGTATATGGTGTTTCCCCATTATCCCCACAGAATCTGCTGTCGCCGTTGTTCCTGAGTTTCAGCCTACTGAGGTGTCCGTTGGGGAAACAGTGTCCTGTTAGTTTCGAGCCTACATATCAAATAAGTACATATGTCAATTTTCAAAATTATATTTAAGTGTTTCAGATTTTTTTTAATACTAAGATCAGGACCAGGCTACTGGTTAGTTTATTACCATTATTACGAAGTATATTGAGAACTGTTTCCGAGAATCATAATTTTTAATTCTCTATATCAGTGGCTATTTTCCCCATTTTTTTTGTCAGAAATGTAGGCGTTAACTGAAAGTGCTAATAGACAAATAACAGCAACCAAGCAATCATCCCGACCAAGGCATTTTTTTAACACTTTTACACAACCATAGCTGTTCTCTCATCCTAGCTCGTTCTCGTACACGAGCCTAAGGCCGACACTGCGCAGGTCTGTCTGGAGGGCGACGCGGGGTTGCTGAGGCCGCTCTCGCGAATAGGCGACAGGGCGGGCGTCTTGGTGCGGTGGGCGACGCTGCGCCTACGCCGGCGGTACGAAGGGCGGCGTCCGCACCGTTGCTGCTGCTGGAGAAGGGTGAGCGCGTTGGCAAGCTCGGTTTCGCTTATCAGTCGCCTAACATAAGAAAAAAAAACATTAGCAAAATAAGGGATGTCAAATCAAAGTTAATTTCTACATAAATTGTACAATTTTATACACATATTCCCATAACGTCGTTATTGTCAAAATAAAAAAAGTTTTATACAGATGTTACATGGTTTATAAAGGAGCATATACTAAAAATATTTTATTGCATAACAAAATTTGTTGTTTTTTGTTGCATACCGGGTGTCACATAAAAAAGTTATGATAAAGTTTTAAGTTTTTGGTTCCCCCCCCCCATTTTTCTGTAGATAACTGTATTCGGCATAAAATTCTGCATATATGTAGTACACTCTTTTTATTTGAAGCACTCTGCAGTGTTGCCAGTCTATTCCTTATTTACTAAAACTTTGGTTAAAAACATTATATCCGAAAAGTGGTAAAAAACTAGAGTGAATATACCTTTATTAATACTTAGCTATGTTTTCATAAACACGAAGGATAACAGAATAAATTCGTGTAGAAAAATTTACATTATCTATATGTACAGGGTATTTTTTATGGAGTCACCAAAATCGGAATATTTAAAATGTTGTATCTCATTTTTTTTAAAATGCAACATCTTGTATATTATTTTTCTTTCAGATGAAGAATTAAAAGGTGAATATTTTTTGTATTTAAAGTGTTCCTAAATTTTTAGCCGTAATAATTAAAAAATGTTTTAAAAGTGTATTTTTTTATTACCGATGAATATTTTACTTTACATCATTTAATTGTTGTTAAATTAAAAAAAAATATATCCACAGCCACGTAGATTTTATCGAATAATAAAGATTTATTGACGCAAAATCAAAATCATAAAAGTAAAAATATCTATGAAAATCTTTGTCTATAAGAGGTAGGCAACTTTGATGCCTAAAGTTTTTTTGAAGATATATCAATTCTCCATTGAATATCGGAATAATATACTGGGTGTTCCATTTAAAATAAAGGAGTAACTGATGGTTATTTTAACTAAATATACAAGCTATACAGGGTAAATTACAATTTAGGTAGCTATTATTGAATTTTAAAATTCATTAAGGCAGAACAATAATGATCAATGACAATTACTTTCTTGGAGGAGTCGGTAAAGCAGGTAAGGTATTGGCTCTACGAGAAACTTCTGGATAACATGAAACTGGCACCAGGTTACTGACAGTCTGTATGGGGACGGGAGAGTTTGAAGTGGGATCAGTCAAAGGTCCCACTTGATTATTCTTGGGAATCTGGCCCTGGTTATTTTGGGCCTGTTGCTGGTTTCTGCGTTTGTGCTGACCTAAACTACCTAAAAAAAATGAGAAATAACAAAACATTGAATACAATAATCCGTTTCAATACCTAAATAAGTTATTAGTATAATATTATTATCATACAGACTATAAAAAATCTGATATGACAATCTTTACAAGAGGCCATATTCGTAACTAATATTCGTAAAAAAATAAAAAAATAAAAAAAGTAAAAAAATACCGAGGGTGCTATTTAAAAATCAGAAGTTGTAGTCATTTCCGGTGAAACAAAAAAGTGACCGAAAACAATTGAATTGTAAAAAAAATTAAATTTGTAAGTGTATTGTAATATATGTCATATACTAATATACAAAATGTCGTTTTTTATCTGAAAAAATAAAAAAATTATGTTTATTATAAATAATAAATAATGTGTAAATGTGTACACCGTGTATAGCATACTTAAAATATATTTTAAGATTATACAAAATGAGTTTTAAATAAGTGCAAATATTTTCAGAGCCGGTAGATCTCGATAAAAGAAATGTATTTTCTCTTTACCGTTTTTCAAATAAGTCTAAAATAACCGAGTTATTCAAGTTTGAACATTTTAAAAAACTCGATATATGATTAAAATAAAAATTTGAGAGCCGCCGGATTTCTTCTATATTTCCACCCCTTTTAGTGGGTAATAAGAAATTATACCGTGAGATAATTTGCGATGAACAGGCAGCTCTAAAAAGTTTTCTAAAATATACAGAAAAATCTTCAACATCTTTTTTTTTGCGAAAAAACCTCATCGTTCGTGGGATATAACACCCCGAAAATATTTGCATTTATTTGAGTCTCACCCTGTATAATATAATAATATATTTTATTTCTAGCTATGTAGCAAATAAATAAAAAAGTCATATTTGATTGTCTTTAACTTATTTGTTCTCTTAAGAAGAATTGTATATATATATATATATATATATATATATATATATATATATATATATATATACAATTCTTCTTAAGAGAACAAAGCAAATAAAACAATCAAGAATTATATATATATATATATATATATATATATATATATATATATATATATATATATATATATATATATATATATATATATATATATATATATATACAACAACAACAAAATTATTCTTAAGTTTCACTAGCTGAACATAATTAAACCAAGTTGTTAGGACACGTTAAGTTAATACGTACAATTTTTGGTATTTTAAGTAAGTAGACTACTGTTAATTTTTTTTTTCATTTCGGAAAAACTGTTTTTTTTTCAAAAAAAGAACTTAAGTAAAAATATTAAGTGTCATTACTGTTATTATTTTTTTAAAACTGGTTTCTCTTATCTCTTAATTCAGCTGGCATATAGATAGCGTGGACGGTTTATTAGAATTGGTATCAGGAACTCATCCCGGGATCAAGTATTTACGTATACAAGATGTCCCAGAAATAAGTGCAAGTATTTTAACTGGTTGTATAGTTCAACCCCAGAAACACGCCTATGAGTTTTTTTATTCGTGAAAAAAAAATTTTGAAAATTTGAAATTTGTTGAAACAATTTTTGGAATTTTTTTTAGTTTTTAGTTAAAAAACATAATTTCTTGATAATATGGCAACATAGGTAGTAGATTAAATTTACAAAAAGAAAATCTAGAAAAGATTCAGTGGTTCTCAAAATTTAAGCAAAAAATCATTTTTTTTTTGGAAATTTTCAAAGTAAAATAACTCCGTTATTTTGGACTTATTTGAAAAACGGAAAAGAGAAAATATGTTTCTTTTATCGATATCTACCACCCCTTAAAATACTTATTTCTGGGACACCCTGTATAGTTCATCAAGTAATTTCATACTTAAAAAAAATGGGATCAACCATTATTATTAGACTTACCTAACACTCTAAACAATAACCTTATTTTGGCGCTCGACCAATGGCCGTGCGTTCTGTGTGGCCGACCGTCCAGAGGGGGCGGCAGCTTTTTGCTCTTGACTTTGTGCTTGCACAAGGAAATGAGACAGCGGGGCTCTGAGGGGCTCTGGTTATCGTCCGGACTGTCCGGGACCGATACGCAACAGTTCCATTTTTTGCGCACTTTTTTCGGAGGTATTTTTAGTTCTGGAGCTACCTATATCAAAAAATGACGTAAACGTTAAAACTGAAATCGATATAATTTACTTATTAATTAATTATTATTTATTTTAATAATTTTCGATACGTATTCATATAGGTATGTATATACAGGGTTGTTCACCACATACGACACGGAGTATTGTAGGTAAACGATTAGATTTTTATAAATTGTAAGTTTTGTGTTCGTTGAAGACTATTAGAGCTACAATTTAAAAATATTTTTACAAGATACAGAGTGTCCCAAATAAGTAAAAAATATTATAGTTTTAATTTTTTTAAATGGAACACCCTGTATATTATTCTATTTTTCGATTCTACGATTGAAATAAAGGTAAATTTGATTAAGATTTATCATACTTAAACTTCACCGTTTTTGAAATATTTTCAATTTTATGAAATTGCAGTAAAAATTTTAAGGCTTCATTTCTCCAAGGGTATCAAAGTTTTTAATACTAAATATTTACTGAAGATTATTTATTGATCAGATATTGTGTTGCAATAATAAACAATATACTCCCTTATACAGAGTGTCTAAAAATTTATATTAAATAATTACTAGATTTAAACGGCAATAACTTGTTTAATTTAAATGGTACATCCTGTATATTTTACGAGGATCAGATGCACAATTTAATTGTCTATCAAATTGTATTATACCATTTTTACCTATCTCTTCAAGTTTTCGTAGAAAATGCATTTTCTTATAATTTAGACCTCATTTATCACTATACCTATGGAATATTGACATTTTTAGTGCATCTGAATCACATAAAATATACAGGGTGTTCCATTTAAATTATACGAGTTATTGCCGTTTAAAGCTAGTAATTATTTAATATAAATTTTCGGACACTCTGTATACGGTAGTATAAATTTTATTATTGCAACACAATATCTGATCAATAAATAATTTTCAGTAAATATTTAGTATTAAAAACTTTGATACCCTTGGAGAAATGAATAAGCCTTATTTTTTTTACTGCAATTTTACAAAATTGAAAATATTTTAAAAACGGTAAGGTTTAAGTGTGATAAATCTTAATCAAATTTACCTTTATTTCAATCGTAGAATCTAAAAATAGAATAATATACAGGGTGTTCCATTTAAAAAAATATAACCGTAATATTTTTTAGTTATTTGAAATACTCTGTATCTTGTAAAATTATGTTTAAATTGTAGCTCTAATAGTCCTTCAACGAGCCCAAAACGTACAATTTGTAAAAATCTAATCGTTTACCTACAATACTCGTCGTGTCGTATGTGGTGAACAACCCTGTATAAAAAACAGCTGTTATGTTTTAACAGCAGGATGACAGGGTGTCATAGGAAAATCTACAGGGTGGCCCATCGAAAACGTTCCGCAAGGCATAACGGCCGGGGTAATTTTTTTTTCAGACAATCCAAAAACATGACAATTTTGTTTGTGAGGGGGACTTTTGCCCCAAAAATGATTGCAAAATCTTCAACCCTTTAAGCGGGGGTGTCATCCCCTAACTTTTTTGAAATGGTGTAGTGTATAAATATTATTACACCCTGTACATAATAGTTTAGATATAAGTATTTCTTATGTTAAGTTAATTAAGACCAGTTTATATTATATGTTTAGAATTAGTTGTTTATATAATATTAGGAATGCAACTATGCATTATTGGATGTCGCGCGATATGCTAATTAGGGTTAACCGAATTCAATTACTATTAAGATTTACACAAGAACAGATTGTACTAGTTATTCGAAATAAAGTTGGTTTTTTAATAAGGTCTTAGAGTTTCCTTCAGAGCATGTAATTGCGAACCCAAATAAGAACATTACAATGGTAAGGGTGGTCAAGTGACGCCGCAATGAAAAGAGCTTTCTATTCTCTATATTTCACTGCTTCGTTTTTGAAAATCAGTCGAGTCATAGAGAAAATATGAAAGATTGAAATTTGAAAAGTTTATTTAAACATTTATCAGAGTAAATGATAAGGATAAACTTCTTCGACCAATTTGCTGTTTTTTCTTATTATTTCTAGATGTTTACGCATTTTTTCACTTGCCACAAGGTTGCACGATCAGGTGCGGTCTCAATATCGTTAAACTGACCCACAATAGAATTTCCGAAAATACCAGCCCGCGACGATCAAAATCGTCTTCGTTGAGTTCTTGTACCAACTGAATTTTGTACGGGTGGAACTTGTGTTTTTATAATATCCTTTGGACACTTGTACGATTCACCCCGGTCTCATTGGCTAATTTTCTTGTACTCAGCGTACTATCCATGGCAACTTGGCCCAGTACGAATACCCCCATAGCTTTATTTACTACAGAATTTTCCCTCTGCGCCTCTTTTTATTCTTAACGGAACCAGTTTCGCGAAATTTACTAACTTGCTACTAACTCGCGACCAATTTTGCCATAAAGGTGTTTGTCAGGATGGCGTTCATTGAATATCTGTGCAAACCAATTGCCACATTCATTATTTTTAAAATAAAGTTCGATTATTTTCACTTTTTCTGCAAGTGAGTACACATAATTGTTAAAAAGTTTAACAATTATTGTATATTGAGAAGAACTTCAGCGCACAAGTCACAGACCAACTATCTAGCAACTACCGCACCTGATCGTTCAACCTTGTGGCTAGTGAAAAAATGCGTAAACATCTAGAAATAATAAGAAAAAACAGCAAATTGGTCGAAGAAGTTTATCCTTATCATTTACTCTGATAAATGATTAAATAAACTTTTTAAATTTCAATCCTTCATATTTTCTCAACGATTCGACCGATTTTCAAAAACGAAGCGGTGGAATATAGAGAATAGAAAGCTATTTTCGTTGCGGCGCCACTTGACCCCCCTTCCCATTTGAAAAAAGTTGGGGGATGACACCCCCGCATAGAGGGCTAAAGATTTTGCAATCATTTTTGGGGCAAAAGTTGTCCCCCTCACAAACAAAATTGACGTGTTTTTGGATTTTCTGAAAAAAAAAAAATTACCCTGGCCGTTATGCCTTGCGGGACGTTTTCGTTGGGCCACCCTGTATAACTGTGTTTTCAATAAAAGGAATATTTGACCGATAGTTTCTTTGAAAGATATTTTTGTCAAAATTTCGACCACAACATGAACACGACAATAATCAATAAATACGGTCAAAAAATTTCTAAACAATTGCCTAAAAATAAATATAAAATCTTTGCTATAATAAGCTATTGTCGACAAAATTAGAATTGTTCTATAAATATGCACCATTTATATTCTCACACATTCTGTATTTTTATTCGTTACAAAATTAACGTATCGCATATCCATGTAATAAGGTATTTTATGGCATCCTCCATATATAGCCATAAATATAATTTATTGCTGTAATTGGAAACATAGAGAAGGTGATTTATATAACCAAAATTCAATGACTCCAGTTCAAACCGACGACATAAATGGCCTCATTGACTACATATCCAAACTTTAATTAAACTTCTATTGTATGACAAGTTTAAAGGGCTTGCTTTTAGACTTTAACGAACTAAGAATGTTTTGAAAGGTTATTTGTGGATTACGTAAACGTTAATTTATTATCATAGACATTTTAACTATGACAAAAATTTATTAATAAAGTTACACTTATGTAGGATAGAAATGATATTTAGATGAGTAAGAACAAAGACATTTTCTTTCTGTTGATATTTTTGTAAAATTCTTCCAATTTTCAATTATTCTTGTTTCGCCTAAGAAAGGGCGATAATGGATTTTACCTATCCATAAGCTATCGCATTTCATCTATGTTCATCTTAGTTATCGATATGTTGTTATATATTAGTTATCGATATGTCGATATGTTGTTATATATCCATATATCGAGTATTCTATTTCATCTTAGTTATCGATATGTTGTTATTTTTAATTTTTTTTATGTCAAAATAAGTATTTTGATACATGGAAGACGTGTGTCAAATATTGCGTCACAGATATTTCTATCTCAAAAGTTGAGATATTTAAGACATACATATGCGGTTTTTTCCTTAGAATAGGTCCAAGAATCACCTTCTTAAATATTAGCATGTCATTAAGGAACACCCTGTATATGCCTGAATGACATTTGACATATAGCATATTTTATACTCTAAATTAATGCTTAATAATAATTTTTTAATAAAAAAAATTATCGACTATCTAGAACTAAATTACCTGACATCAAAATCTTACTTAAAAGAAGTTAACTTAAAAGTTAAAAATACAACTTAAAATTTAGTATTATTCATTATAAATAATTAGAATGTGAACTAATTAGTATTAAAACTTCTTACTTACTGCTGAGTTATAAAACCATGTATATTTTTATACCAATATTGATCGGAAAGTAAGTTTATTAATATCATTCACACTAGACACGCATATGCCATTGTGTGTCGGTCGTATTAGTTAAATACTATTATTACAAAATTTCATATAGCATGAAACAAAAAGGCTAGTCAGAATAGTTTACTGCACTCAGATATTCCATGCACTAAAACGCTCTTTAAAGTAATTAATATGTTCATTAATTTTTTAATTCAAAGAATTTATATTTTTAAATATGAAATGTGTATCGTCGAATGTAAAATTATGAAAGTCGGTGAATTGAAATTAATAAATTTTAACAAAGAGTTTTATATCTGTATGCAAATCAGCTAAATATAAATAATAAAGTTATTTAGAATAATAAATAAATAAATAAAATAAACAACTATTATAGCTCAAAATTATCCTACACTACACTTAGTAAACCTATCTTAACACTATTCTTATTCAAAAAAAGACACATTTAAGAAAAAACAAAAAAGAAAATATAAAACAGAAAAATGTATTGTCCATTTACTGAGCAAAGTAAGTCTGAACATGGTAGTAGCATTTACTGATTAGAAAGAAGCCATTTGTCACAAACAATTCATGTAAAATCTGATATATTCCAATATACAGGGTCGCTGATATGTATGAAAACGGTCGATTATTGAGCAAAATATACGAGGCACTGCAAAAAAGTTAAATACAAAAGTTATAGGGTTTTAAATACGTATAAGCTAGTAACAAATTTAAGTAGACAGGGTATATCATGAAGTCATGGCACCTCAAAGATTTATTTTCTTTTAAATAAAACGCCATGAATATTATTGAGTATTTCAATTTTTCCTTCAATTTTAATTTTAATTTTAATAGTGCGTCGGCCATCTGTAGCTCCTAGAATAAAAAACTTGGGCATTTTGTTTTTGCATTTTTGACTTCCTTTCGGATCACTTTACATAATCCGAAGATATGAATAAATATATTTCGATAGTTTCAGAGATATTAATAAATAAATAAAAAAAATATATATTTTTCAACCATCATTAAAAAAAATATTACAAATACAAGAACTGTCCTGAAATCAAAACTATATTAGGTATTTACTTTAGATGGTATATACTTAATTTTGCTATAAATATCGTAATCTTAAATCATACAGGATGTTCAAAATTCTACGCCAAACTTCCTAAAATATAAAATAATTTTTCTTCTTTTTTTTAAATGGTATATTATTTTTTTATTAAATGGAGAATTAAAAAATGAACATTTTTTGTATTTAAAGTATTTCAAAATTTTTAAAATTTTGAAATACTTTAAAAAAAATGTTTCGCAGATACACGCAGTATTATTTCATATGGTTCTCTCAACGGTAAAATACGAGAGAAAAATCACTGGGTGGCTTTGATAAAAAATTATTATGGAAAATGCCATATGAAATATAAAACCGCGTATATCTGCGAAACCGTTAAAAATATTGAAATACTCTAAATATAAAAAATGTTCATTTTTTAATTCTCTATACATTGAAAAAATAATATACAGGGTGTTCCATTTAAAAAAAACGAAGAAAAATTATTTTATATTTTAGAAAGTTTGACGTAAAATATTGAATATCCTGTATGATATACGATTACCATATTAATAATATCTAATATAGTTTTGATTTCAGGACAGCTCTCGTATTTTTAATATTTTTTTTAGAAAGGCTGAAAAATATATATCTTTTATTTATTTATTAATGTCTTTGAAACAATCGAAATATATTTACTCATATCTTAGGATTATGTAAAGTAATCTGAAAAGAAGCCAGAAATGCAATAATTCCATTTAAAAAAATCATCCCGATCCACTCACACTTTTTTGAGCCACCATATAGAAGTTAAAATATTTTCCTAGAATATATCCTAGAACCAACTATAGATTTGCACTTAAAGAAAATTCCTAAGTTTTTTACTCTAGGAGCTACAGATGCCTGATGCACTATTGCCAGACCCTGTATAATGTACCTAAATCCAACTATTTCCGGCGAGTTATCGAGTTTTCGTTTTGAAATGTTAAACGATTTATTATGTAATTTCAGACTTGATTTAATATCGTTTTATGCACCTATAAATGTTAACTTGACAGGTAATGTCAAATATTATTGAGTATCACAGTCTTTCCGTAAAATGGCATCTTTAAATGAAACCGAACGCATCGAAATTTTAATTATGATAGGGTATAGTGATAGAACGTAGAATCCTTAAGATACCATGGACGGCCAAGATAAGAAACGAGGATGTACTAAGACGTAGTAATAGAGAACGTGAACTCTTTAACACCATAAAAAATGAAAGACTGCATACCTGGGTCACGTCATGCGTAACCATAAATACCAATTTCTTCAGTTGATTATCGAGGGCAAGATCGAGGGCAGAAGGGGTTTGGGACGGAAAAAAATGTCGTGGCTGCGGAACATAAGACAGTGGACAGGCATTAGTAACATACAGAAGTTCATCCACACACCCAGAGATAGGGAAGCCATGGAAAGTGTGGTCGCAAACATCCATTAATGGATAAGCAGAGAAAGAAGAAGAAGATAGAACGCAAAGCTTTATAGAAATAATAAATTTAGACTCTCAGACTGCTGCCATATACATATATATGAGGAAAATTCAAAAAACAAACAAAGCTGGTATTAAATAATGTGTGACTGTTATTTCTAATAATTTTGAATACCTGGTACTTGTTATGAAGTAAAAAAAAGTAGAAGTGATTTCTAGTGTAAGTAGTAGTGATAGTCTAGGTACCAGAAGAGAAAATATTATAAAACAAAATTAGTAATAATGTATAATTGTAGCAGGTTTTTAATTATTTCAATATATATGATATATGTTTATAATCTTTAAAGCTTCATTCAGAACCTCGCTATTAGTGGAATAAATTAGTGGTTTCAATTTTATACTTTTTAGTTTACGATCATTCACAATATTTAAAAAACACAATTAAAATTAATAGAATATAATGACAGATGATTGTGTAACAGCTTGCGTTAGTCAGTTTTACCCATAGAAAAAGCCTAATATTTAGCTTATAAAACAATCAACTTTTAATTTATAACCACAATTTCTCTTGACGGAAGATAATCAAAGGCCAAAATGACATTTCTGTAAGTTTTGAAGTATAATTAATGAAAAAGTTTAAAAGTTTGATAACTTTTTCTACTAACTGAAAATGTCTACCACTAATTTTGACGTTCCGAAGGTTTATATTGAAATTAAAGGAACAAACTTCTACGTTAATTGAAACCACTAATTTATTCCACTAATTGCGAGGTTCTGAATGAAGCTTAGGTCAAAATAATTATAAAATTGTTAAAGCTATGGAAATGTAAATTTAAATCTAATAGGCTTCTTACCGAATTATTACTCATAATGCACATTTGGCAATCTTGAGGAGTGCTGGGAGGTGTAGGAGTTGGCTCGGGATTACAACTGGAGAATGTTTCTTCTAGTACTGTACAACTAAAAAAGGTAGTTCTGGTTTTTCCGTCACATTGAAGATTAACGGGCCTAAAAAATAAGGAAATTTTAAGGTCAATTAGATAGATCTTATATGAATCCTAAACGATTACATAATTCCAGTTGGGGGAGTGGAACCGTTGGTGTTACAACAGCACAATAAAACTTCAATTTACCATAATACCCCAAACCACTTTTCTTTTAACACTAGACGCGCGTTTTGTTAACCATGTTAGCATCATTAGCAGATGATTAAAAGCTTAGTCTAATCATCTGCTGATAATGCTAACATGGTTAACGAAACGTGCATCTAGTGTTAAAAATAAAATATTTGGTTTGGTTTTATTTAGTTGGTTAAAAGTTCCAACCCACAACTGTAATATAAATTAAGTACAAAATTTTATCTGACAAGGTAAGACACTTAAAATCGAGTACAAACAACTTATTATACTCAAAACACACTTTTTGTGTATTCGTTACTTCGTGATTCATTTTACAGGTATTAAATAGAGAAGTAATAATGAGATGTAATAATACTAGTACCGAAAGTTGTAATTGTATACGATTTAGTTCTCGTTATTTATAATTAAACTTAAAAACTTACTGTTAAAGGGGTTGGGATGTTTTTATGCTGAAATAGATAAATTGATCATAATGGCGTAACTAGTATCTCTGCACTTTACTACACTGGGTGTTTTGTTCCCACCTTTTCTGAAATTTTCACCCTCTTTCAGCAATTTTTTACTTACTAGTGGCATTTTCTCGTATTAATAATTGGAAATATAGGTCATGTAGGAAGTAGCAATATTGCATCCCTTTTAGTGCCGTAACCATGGTAATATCAGAGATTAAAAAATTATACTGTGGGAAAATTTGCGGTGAACAGGCAGTTCTAAAAAGTTTTCGAAAAATGTACAGGGAAATTTAAAAGAAAATGCACGATTTTCACCATCTTTTTTGCGAAAAAAAACTCATAGAAGTGTTCCTGGGGTCAAAATATACCACCCCTGGAAATATTTGCACTTATTTAAGACTCACCCTGTATAAATATATCAAAACTACAACTATACTATCAATTTACCAAACGCGCGTCCAGTGAAAACGTAGTATTTTGGTGAATTGTGTTAAATTAGTGTTTTATTTTGCTCTTGTAACACCAAAGGTTCCAACCCTCAACTATAATATACTATCAATACAAAAATATAAAACAAAAATTGAAAAAATATAAAACATAAACTGAAATTTACTACAATTTTGTTAAACAAAATGCGAGTTTGGTTTGGTAATTGGAAAAATGGTCCAATTATTTTTATTTCCAAAATTTGAATATCCAGATTTTAGGTAACAAATTCTTTGCTATGATTGTTTTCTGATGTTTTTTTTTGTGAATCCTAGACACAGGATCCCACAAGGGTAATACTGGGCCAAACTAAATAACTTGGACTGGTTCAAAATCAATATTCATTACATAATCTTTGACACTATGATACGCAAATTATAAAAAATGGGCATTTTTCCGTTACATGTCTTAATCTCAAATTACTACATAAAAACAGATGAAACCAACGGCACTCTCTATCAGAGTTATATCTGATAGAGAGTAATTATATAAAAACATAAGTTTGAGTTAGCCCTGTAATGTAGGGTATCATAATATATGAAAGGGATTAATTTGCACAAACTTAAAACAGATTTTTAATTATTTTTATGACGTATATTTTTCGATTTATGACAAAGAATGTAAAAAACTGTAGTATGTGTAAATATCTAAGGAACCCTTTGTGGGCGAGTCCGATCCGAGACGAAGCACACTTCTTGTCCGATTTTTAAGTTATTGATTTGAATAAGGTAAATGTTATTAATTAGCAATTAACTCCTTGATTTTTCTACACGTACCTGTGTCTCAGCGTAGGGTTTCTTTCCATGTCTGCGTCTCGTTCCACATTTTCCATATTAACTATTTCAGTCTGAGGAACAGGCTGTTGGGAATTATTTTGGCGTTGCTGGCGGATATACTCGTATGTGGTGAGACCCAGAAATGATATGTAGATGTGAAAGAAGCACAGATGTAACAGCAGACCTGCAGTGATGGCTGCTAACAATCCCAATGCAGCTACGACAGCTAGGAAAGCTGCATCGCTAGACGGCAACGAGGACGGAAATGGGGGCGGGGAGGTTAAATTTGGTTTCAAAAAAGGCTCTTCCTGAAAAAAAAATATATGACTTTAATAACAGTGTTTGGTAATGGGTGCTATTTTATAATAAGAACCTATTGATTATATTTATTGTGGCTCACCCCCTAACTTTTTTATTTTTTTCTGATAAAAAAACGAGATTTGGTATGTTAGTCGTGGTATGTTCGGTATCGCGTCTCTTAGAAACCGCAAATATTTAAACTTCAATAATTATTATTGAAGTTTAAATAAGTTATTTTATTATTTAAGTAGTATAGAATATTGTTCAATGTATTACTTATGGTTTTTGTGTTATGTTTTACTAAATATTTGCATTTTAAATTCAATATTTTAAGGTTCTTTTCTCAAATTTAGTTAAGTTTGTTTATGTGAATTTTAACTTATATTTTTTCTTTGCATGTGTTCATGTTTATTAATTGCTAATAAACAATATAGGAACTTGAAAAGAGAAAAGAAGCAAGAACAATAAGAAATAGAAATACTATGTACTTATTTAGAAAAGTTTGATTTTGGCTCTTAGAGGACTTTCTCACGTAACAAAAAAATACATTTTTAATTATTTACCGATTCCCGAAAAACCGGGAATTAATTTGGTTCTGTACTGTCCAAAAAGATCCAGAAATTCCCGGTATTTTCAAAACCGGAATTTGCCAGTTCTGAACCCTAACTGGGAGTATTAATTAGGGTTTGCGGAACCAAAACTGTTTTTAGGAACAGGGAATTTCGGAAGCATGCCTCTAAGGAATCAGGATTTACCGGTTTTGTCGGTAATAGCAAATGTTTGTTCTATGATTGTGCAGTTTGTCAATCACTAAGCAAGGAATGGTTTTCAAAAGTAAAACCGATAAAAAAATTGAGTTTTGAATAAAAATAATATCAAATTATTAAGCAATCAGTCATGAAAAAATAACATAAACACAAATGAACACAAGCGAAGAAAAAAACGAAAAAAACATAGGTAACTTAAAATTTACATCAAACAACATAAGCCAACTTAACTAAATTTGAAAAAAAAACTTTAATTTTCAATTAAAAACTTAAAAATATAACTAATACATTTAGTAACATTATACTAAATAATAAAATAACATACACTACTCAAAACAATTATCGCATATTTGAACAAAAATAATTATTACATATTTCTAAATGAAGCATGCATTTTTCTGCCATTCTCTTGTGAGTTTTTTAGGATAATTAGGGTACGCACTTACATGTAATTTTTAGTCGGCCGACTATTTAGTTGCAAAAGTGAAAACAATACATTCGTATAGAGCCGATTGGCCCAATATTTGATTACATTGGTCGGCTGACTATTTAGTTGCATATTTGAAACCAATATTTCCTTATGAAGCCACGCTCACATGCAATCAAATAGTTACAACCGATCGACTTCATAAGTATGTATTGTTTTTACTTTTGCAACTAGATAATCGGCCGACTAAAAATTACAGGTTAGTGCGCAGGCGTATTGTATCGAATTTCCCTTCACATTATCCATACTATTTGAAATCGTAAGTCAGGGAATTCAAAGTGTCTTGTTTTTAAAATTAATATTATTTTTTAGAAAATATGCGATAATTGTTTTGAGTAGTGTATTTAAACTTCAATAATTATTAATAAACATTATAGGAACTTCAAAAGATCTGAAATAAATATAAAATAGCTATTTCTTTCAAGAAATTTTTCGAGATCTATCAGCTCTGAAAATATTTGACTGATTTAAGACTCAACCTGCCTACTATCGTAATTAGTCCATTTCGCTGATACCATAGACTTAAAATAAAATATTATTATATTATTTTATTTTAAGTCTATGGCTGATACACTGTAGGTAGATAATTACTTGTTACTTTTAATAAATATTTTTGTTTACACAAATCCGAAGTTATGAAACATTTATTAAACCTTTAAATCTTACAAGTGTAATGTGATAATTAAATATTTCTAACAAGAATCGTAATAAAGTTTATATAACTTTGCGTGAGCAACTTCAAAGTAAGTTATAAGTTTAAAATTATCTCGCAGATATAATTAATAAAAATTATTTACTTAGCAATCATAATAATTAATATTTGCATGATTCCTATAAACAATAAATACTAGATATCTATTGAATTGCATTAGGGTGTATTATATTAATATACATATTTGTAAAATATAATAAAATTATATAAGAGTTTCTTGCCTTGGAACTGCTAATATAGAAATTAATTCCACGCTGTGTTCGTCATAATGTGGATCAACTTGCTCTCACGGTTTCGAGACCCTACCCCATCATCAGGTGAGCTTGGGTCCTTTCCACAAAATGACGAGCATAGCGCCGAGTATATAAATACGACTTGTAAAGTAGCGGTAAGATATTAAGTCCCGCATCGCGAGATAGCGGCCTGCGTGCAATGGTAGTACTTTCGTACCACCGAGGCACAACTATCGATAGTAAATATAGGCATTTTTCGGCTAACCCAAAATATATAACGGAAAATAAATTTCTTGCAGTTTTTAGGTAAAGTAAGAGTTTCTTGCCTTGAACTGCTAATATAGAAATTAATTCCACGCTGTGTTCGACATAATGTGGATCAACCTGCTCTCACTACCGGTTTCGGGGCTCTACCCCATCATCAGGTGAGCTTGGGTCGTTTCCACAAATTATTATTTTACACTATATATTTGTAAAATAGTTATACTGTTTAACTATATTTTTTATCTAAAAAATATTAAAAATTTTTCCGGTGTTCTAATCTTACTATACTAATGGTTCTCTATTATGTGTTAACCTAGATTTTACCTCAATCTAAACACTTTTAGCTAAATTAAAAGATATATCGGTCAACATTAGGAGAAGCATGTTGTAGCGTGTCTATTATCCCCGAAGCCATTAGAAATTTATCAACCTACGATAAACTCATCCAAAGCTTTTCCATACAAAAGTAATATTATGTTACCATAGGGAAATATCAATATGATAGACAAAAGAAATAAATGAACATTTTTGTATGATTTGTAAATGGCAGTTGATATACCAAAAATAGCTAAACCTTTCTATGTTATTGATAAACGGTAGTAACTTATCAGGAGTTGGATATGTTTTACATATTTCGTAGGTATTTTATAAATGATTTACTTTAAAATATATATTTTTTAAATAGCACTCTCATGTACAGAGTGAGTCTTAAGTAAGGGCAAACATTTTCAAGGTTAAATAGAAAACTAAATCGCCCCAATAGACCAAAACACTTTTACACTGGACGCGCGTTTCGCTAACCATGTTAGCATCATCAGCAGATAATTTAAAAAAGTAATAGTGCTTTCGGTTTGGTTTGGCTTGGTTTTGTTTGGCAGTGTAAAAGTAAAAGTGTTTTGGTGTATTGTGGTGATTTAGTGTTTTATTTTGCTGTGTAACACCAAAAGTTCCAACCCCCAACTGTAATTTTCAGGGTTGGTAGATCTCGATAAAAGAAACATTTTCTCTTTACCGGTTTTAAATTAACTCAAAAATAACCGAAATACTTTACTTAAAATTTTTACTATTTTACAAAAATTTTCAAAAAATGATTTTTTGCATAAATGTTGAGAACCGCTGGACCTTTTCCGGGTTTTCCCTCTTGTAGATTTAACCTACTGCCTCTGTTGCAATCAATATATTATATTTTTGAACTAAAAATTTAAACAAAAATTATTATATTATTTTTTTTAATTTTTAGTAATTTTTAACTTTATTTTTGAAATTTTTTATATATACAGGGGATTTTGGGTTCGAAATATAATTTACCAAAAAATATTTGCACTTATCTAAAACTCACCCTGTTTATATTTTTTTTAATGTTACTCATTTTATAAACTCTTCAATTTTTATTGAGTGAGTGTTTCAAATACCATTTTTTAATAGTAGTAGGTATTTATTCTGGTCTTTAATATTTACCTTTTTTGTAATACATTTATGCTATATTTAGATCAAGATGAAATGAAACCAAATCTTCAAACACACAAAATGTATAATAGTCCAGTAAATGAAGGTGAAACCACGGCTTAATTCGTCGACCGGCACTTTCAGGCGGATTGTGTACCTTTTGGGGAGTACGTTTAGGGGGAAAATCAACACCGAAAAAATTGCCCTAAATGGCCGAAAAAAGTGTGCAATTTTCTTAAAATAAAGGTAGTTATATAGTATATATAAAAATAGTTAGGTAACTATCAACAAAAATTACTCTTATCATTTTTTACGTAGAATTAGTAGTTTTAGAGATATTCCACCTCGAAGAACCCTCAATTTTCTCGTCAAATCTTAACGCTCCGAAGATAGATTTCATAAGCCTATCATTTATTGATAGAACAAATTGTTTAATAACTCGGCTAAAATTAATTATTTTTGAAGATTCAAAGTTTGTTTAAAAGGTAGAACAACAGCTTTCAAATTTTGGAACTTAAAAAAAAATCAAACTTAAATTTTGTCATATTTTATGACAATAAAAAAACCGGGCAAACATTCCTTTACCCAAAAATGTTCAGATTTAACTTATTCATATTTTCACTACTATTAATAACTTATTTGTTAAGATTTTTTTAACAGTAGTTTTTTTCTAGCTAAGAACCCAATATTCCATTTGATCATGAAAATCATCTACATGCCATATTTCGGTCAATATTGGCGGAAAACCCGTTCTTTGACCTTTTAGAGCCGTTTTAAGCGTTTTCCAAGAATTTTTCGATCAAAGAAGAAGCCGTTTTTCGTCCAAAGCTTTGGCCGAGCACGGTGTTACAATTTTTTCACTAAAACTACTCCTCAAAAAATACACAATCCACCTAAAAAGTCATGGTCGTCGAATTAAGCCGAGACTTGGGTCTTTTCGCATCCTTATTTACTGGACTAATAATTATAAAATTTAATTATAAGGTTGCTAAATATAGGGTTGCCAACCGTCCCCTATTCCAGAGGACATTCCTCTTTTTGATTTCACTCTCCTCTTTTCTCTCGCGTATTTAAAAAGTCGTCTTTTTTACATGTCAAA